CTCTCTGCTTTCCTGCCATTTTTTAGTTTTACTGAGGCAACTCTCACAGGGCTCTGTCTGGCTTTGAACTCACTATGTAGCCAAGGCTGAACTCTTCACCTCCCAGCCTCTATTTCCCAAAGGCTGGGATCACAGGCATGCACGACCACACCCATCTGCTTTCTTGTCTCAAGACGTGACTTCTTCCCTCTACTGTGGCTGCCTGCCAGAGAGGATGGAGCCGAATGGGGCCCTTGCAAGAATCTGCATCATGCTGTTGACTCTTTCAACCTCCCAAACTGTGAAATTATTATTAGTAACTCTCTTGTCTTTATAAAGTTAGCCTCCCTCAGGTATTTCATTATGTTATCAAAAAAAGAAAAGAAAAGAAACTAGTATAGCCCTTGCATTTGTTTCTGGTGTGTGAAATAACAGTAATTACAACAGTCATGTTTTTATAGACTGTCTTTTATCTCAGGGGTACATTAGCATCGTCATCTCATTAGTCATGGGAACACTTGTTTCAAGTCGCCTTTAGTGGGTAATTTTATTATCCTTTCTAAGGACTGAGAAGCTGCGATTAAAGTATATTCAGTCCCAATGCTATAAAACAATTTTGATTTTTCTTTTAGATCAAGATTTCCAAGTCTTTCAATCTTGAAGGCATCTCTCTTATGAGTTAATATTTGGGACATTCAGGTCTGGAATACCATGTACTAGTTAGCATTTATATATCTTAGGAAAGCTTTTCTCGGTAGGAAACTAAGCTTGTTGAGATTCATATTAAAATGTAAAACATTGTTGGGCCTGGCTTGCACACTTTTTAGTACTCAGGAGTCAGAGACAGATGGATCTCAGTGTGTGTGAGGCTAGCCTGGTCTACAAAGCAAGTTCTAACCCAGCCAAGGTTACAGAATGAGATCATGTCTTAAACAAATAAATAAAAACAAACAACCCCAAAACCATAAAAAGCCAACTTCTTCAATATGAGTCCGTCAGGAGCCATTTCTGACTTTCTTCTATGATTCCTCCTTTCAGGGATCCTGATTTTGATGGGTTGGTTTGGTTCTTTTTTAAATTAGTTAAATAATTAATTGCACGTGTACAGGTTTTGTCTGTGTGCATGTCTTGCCTCAGAGGCCAGAAGAGGGTGTTGGATCCGTGTAACTGAACTTACAGACAGCTAGAAGCTGCCATGTGGGTGCGGGGAACTAAACCCAGGTCCTCTGGAAGAGCAGCCAGTGCTCTTAACCCCTGATCCATCTCTCCAGCCCCCATTTCTTCCTTTTTTAAAAACACATTTTCTTTTCATAGCTGCCCTAGATTCACAGCAGCGTGGAGAGGAGGGTCCAGATTCTTCCTATGCCCCTCCACCCCCACCACACACAGCATCCTCCACTGTCAACAGCCCCACAAGAGGAGGACCTACATTGTACCAGATGATTTACGCTGACACGTGGTATGACCAACCCTTACATCACAGTTGATGCTTGCGCTACAGATTCTGTTGAGTTTACATAGACGTGTAATGACACAGACCACCCCCAGGACAGTGTGATACAGGATATTTTCACTGTCCCCCAGATCTGTGCTCTGCCTGTTTATCTGTCCCTTCTAATCATTGGCACCCTTGATCTTTGCACAGTATCAATGACTGCATTTTTAGAATGTTATTGACTTGTGCAGTCATTCTGTCTTTTCAGACGATTTCTTTTTTGTTTGTTTGTTTTGTTTTTCTCTGTAGCCCTGGCTGTTCTAGAACTCATTTAGTAGACCATGCTGGCCTCTAACTCAGAGATTCATCTGCCTCTACCCCAGCACCCTCTGCCCCAAGTACTGGGATCAAAGCGTGCACCACCGCTGTCTGCCAGACGACTTCTTACACACAGAAAAATGCATTTCAGTTTCCTCTCTGTCCCAGCTCTTTTCATTTTCACATTAGATGATATTCCATTATTTGGGCACACCGTGGGTAATTCACTCAGCTCCATTTCATTTTTGATTGGGCGCAGGCTCTCAGTAGATAACTGGGGGCCATACAGGAAATGAAGAGGCAGGCTGAAGTTGAAGAAAACTTGAGATCTGCTCTCAGAAAAGAAAAGAAAAATTTTTTTAAGGTGGTTTTGTTGAGGCTTGGGAAGAAATGACTTGTCTTTCCTTCTTTTCTTTCTTTCTTTCTTTCTTTCTTTCTTTCTTTCTTTCTTTCTTTCTTCCATCTGAAGCAGCTTTTGTTTGTTTGTTTGTTTGTTTGTTTGTTTGTTTGTTTTTGGTTTTTTGAAACAGGGTTTCTCTGTAGCTTTGGAGCCTATCCTGGAACTAGCTCTTGTAGACCCGGCTGGCCTTGAACTCTGAAGCCGCTTTTCTGATTGTCCTCACGTCAGTGTTTCCTGTCAAGAGGAGGTACAGTCAGGGGGTGGGGTGGGCTCAGCTGGTCAAGGTCACAAGCTTCTCCAGGTTGCAACGAGAAACGAGATTTGCTTTGCGTGGAAGGGATGATTTGCTTGAGCTCTGTCAATACAGGATTCTGGCTTCGGTTTTCTCCTCCTTGTATATCTGCTTCTAGTGACGGGAAAGTAAGGCACAGTTTCCAAGTACAGCAAAGCTGCCTTGAATCTGAGTGTGCCACAAGAGCCAAACCTTTGTCCTGTTGTCCATGACTTATGGTTTATTTCCAGGTATTTATGCTTCTTTATGCTTCTTGTTTTTGTTTGGTTGGTTTTGTTTGTTTGAGACATGGTCTCATACATCCCAGGCTGGACTTGAACTCAATATGTAGTAAAGGCTGACCTTGAACTCACAGTCTTCCTGGCTCTACCTCCCAAGTACTAGGATGCACCACCAAGTCTGGTTCTGTGGTGCCTGGACAGAACCTCTGAAACTGGAAAGAGGCCAACCTAATTAAATGTTTGCCTTTGCAAGAGTTGCTGTGGTCATGGTGTCTATTCACAGCAATAGGAACCCTGAGACACATGTGCAGACACACTAAATAAATGAATAGAGCAATAAACAAAAAGTAATTTTAAAAAAAGTAAGGAAGCAAGCTGAGTGCTTCTGCACCGGCGTTCATCTTCTGCCTTCTGACTGTGGACACCACAAAACCAGCCACTTTCTGCTCTCTGACATCCCACCTTCTCTGCCATGGTGGACTGTAGTCCCCGGAACAACAATCAAAAAATAGGAATTAATAAATTAATTAATTAATAAAAGGCAAAAAACCACCCTTCCTTCCTTAAATAGCCTCCTGTCAGTTGTTGGGTCACAGCAATGAGGAAAACTTAACCAATACAGCGGGGGCTTGCATGAAGCCACATCTGGAACTCATAATCCTCCTGCCTCTGCCTCCCAAGTACTGGCATTCTCACCTTTGTCCTGCTTGTGGAACTCCAGCACCTTGAGAGTCCAACAAACTTCCAGATTCTTCCTAGATACCCGAAATGCCCCTTGATTGTACTAGATACTTCTAAAGAGAGCTTTGCCTATGAACTACCAGGGAGGTCAAAGTAGACTGGTTTTAACCATTGTTCCCTATTTTACCATGTTTCAGTCTCGGTTTCCCTCCAAGGTATTCATACAAATGCAATCACCAAAGCCACCTCCCTTTTGAATTGGGATGAATTGTCTCATGCATTGAAATACTTTCTAGAATAACTCTCTAATAGCAGTGGAGTGGTGTGGGGTTTGTTTTTTTTTTTCAAAAGGGAATTAGATAAAGCAGTATCTTGATAATTAATCTATACTACAAAGTAAGAAGGGTTTAACCCAAATTGTTAACAACAACATCTATGTTGTTCCTGGGGCAAGTCTTGGGTATATTGCTCCAAGTAATTTGTCTGGGCTGCAAAAACATACTGTAACTGTCAGTTACCCCAAGATCTGCCCATCAGTTCCTGTAAGACAAGCTCAAAAGGATGGGGAGGTGAATGCTCAGGTAAGGCACCTACAGTGCACTATGACCCCACATATACTGCAGATGGGCGTAGAGGCCTGCCTAGATCCAAGCTGGGAAGACAGGCAAATTGATCAGTTAGGCTAACCAAAACAGGGAGCTCCAGGCACACTGGATTCAACAAGAGAACCTGTGTGGTGAACAAATGAAAAGGCTCTCATAGGCTCATATGTTTGAATGCTTGGTCTTCCGGTAAGAACTGTTTGGGAAAAATTAGATGTGACCTTGTTGGAGGAGGTGTGTCACTGGGGTGGTTTCAAAAGCCCTAACCATTCAGTTAGCTCTGTTGACTGTCTGTCTCCTTCTTGTGGATCAGTGTGAGCTGTCAGCTACTGCCCCAGAGCCATGGCTGCCTTCCAGTTGCCATGCTTCCTGCCGTGATGGCCAAAGGCTCTAACCATCTGGAACTGTGAGTTTTTATTGATTGGTTGATTGATTTTTGTTTCTCAAGACAGGGTTTCTCTGTGTAGTCCTGGCTGTCCTGGAACTCACTCCATAGATCAGACTGGTCTCGAACTCAGAGATCTGCCTGCTTCTGCCTTCTGAGTGCTGGGATTAGAAGTGAGTACCACCACATACCGGCTTCATTCATTTATTTTAATAAGTTGCTTTGGTCATGGTATTTTGTCACAGCAGTGGAAGAGCAACTAGGATGCCATGAATTACTAAAATTCCTTCCCTGAGGGAGACGATAATAATGTCAACCCACCCTTGAAAAGGTTCTGATAATAAACCAAAGTACCACTCTCCCATAGATCACCCTGGGGAAACCAGCGAGCTTACTGGGTTTAATTACAGCATGAGAGGGTTACAGCCAGGACATCGGGAAGTCTTCACCCAGCATAGATGAAGATGGCTTCCCTATAGCCGTCTAAATGGGGTCCCAGCTTGCCCTTGCCCTTCCCAGAGATATGTGAAATTAGGAAAGAACTACATACAAATGGCTGGGAGGAGTGGCCAGATGTGCAGGTGAAGGTCCAATGGCGCCACATCCCTCCTCCTTCTATGAGGGAAAGCCAGCAGTCTACAGGGGAGATCCTGATGCATGCTGGAAGACAGGCACGGCTGGGGTGCTAAAATGGCTGTCTGGCTCAGGGGGTGGCACCGAACAATGCCCTTCCTCAATATGGAACATAGAAACCACCTGAGCAAAACCCCAGATGTCATCAATGTTAGGCCTCTCATTACAACACACACCCACCCCTTTATTTATTTTGTGTGTATCTCTGTGTGCATGTTTATGCATGTGCAGCTGCGTGTGGAGGTCAGAGGACAACCTCGGGTGGCACATGGCCGTCTTCTATCTTTGAGGCAGGTCTTTCATCACTGGTGTCTTAGTCAGGGTTTCTATTGCTGAGACAAAACACCATGACCAAAAGGCACGTTGGGAGGAAAGGGTTTCTTTGCCTTACCCTTCAGCATTGCTGTTCATCACTGAAGGAAGTCGGGAAAGGAACTCAAACAGGGCAGGATACTGGAGGCAGGAACTATGCAGAGGCCATGCAGGGGTGCTGCTTACTGGCTTGCTTTGGCTTGCTCAACCCACCTTCTTAGAGAACCCAGGGCCAGCAGCCCAGGGATGGCACCACCCACTATGGGTTGGGCCCTACCCCATTGGTCACAACTGAGAAAATGCCTTACAGCTGGATCTCACTGAGACATTTCTTCAAGTGATACTCCTTCCTCTGATGACTCTAACTTATGTCAGGTTGACACACAAAACCAGCCAGTACAGCTGGCATAGAGCTCACCAAGTAGGCTAAATGGGCAGCCAGCAAGCCCCAAGATTCTGTCTGTCTCCCCAGTCTGGGTGCTGGGTTATAAGCAAGCATGTGCCACTAAATTCGGCATTTTCCCCCCAAGACAAGGATTCTCTGTGTAACCCTGTCTTGGAACTCACGCTGTAGACCAGGCTGCCCTCGAACTCACGCAGAATTCTCTTGCCTTCTGAGTGTTGGGATTAAAAGCATGCGCAGCTGCCAACACCACCACCCGGCAAAATCAGCATTTTTATGTGGGTTCTGAAGGCAGAACTCGGCATCACACTTACAAGGTAATCTCTCTGGTGACTGAACTGCCACCCCCAAACCCCACCCCCTGGCCACAGACATTCCTTTTTAGAACAGTTTTGGGTTCATAACAACACTGAGTCAGCCCCCGACAGCTGCTGCGTCACCTGTCCCCTCTTAGTAATCTGAGCTGGTGTAATTGGATTTCTTTGTACTTACTAGTACTGAGATAAACCGTAAGTCACAGCAGTCTGAAGGGTGCAGTGACATATATATCACTGGGCCTTTGAACAGTGTCGTCATGATGATAATGGCTGTCGCACATGTTCGTAACCACTCCAAGCTCAGAAAGCCTTTTAAACTTGCGTTCTACCGCACCGCGGTAACTGTTTTCGGTAATAGCATTTACTACCAACTTGCCAACTGTCAGCCCTTTACCTCGGGATCTCTGACGTAATGGACCCTGAGGTGCCACAAAGGGGCTCTTATTTCCCCCAGCAGCCCACGGGGGTCCTTAGTTCCTGCTGTTTCTCTGCTCCCTCCCGGCTCAGATAGCATTTCTAGGTTCCTTTGGAGTGACCTTTTGCAAGACGTGCTATAAAATTCACGCAGAGCAGGGATAGCTAACATTGCAAATGCTGTGCTTACAGTTTGTTGTATGCTGGAATTAATGTTAAAACAATTTCCACTCTGAACACACGGCCTTACGTTTTTATTAGGTATTACGTATTTATTAGTAAAATGATAACCGCATAGGTAGCTCCTTATTAATTCTGCAGGGATTTTTTTTCCTGACACACATAAAAATGACTTAAAATCGTTGATGACTTTTGCAAGGGACCTGATTGCTTTATAATCATGAAAGTATATTAATCAGGTTTATGCTGCCTGTAAGCCAGGCGGGAGAGCCAAAGGGCTTTGTGCTTTTATTTTTAATCTATTTTAGGGCCGCATTGCTTAATGAAAAGAACCAAACGTCCCTATCATAAAGCATTCCAGCTGTTGAATGACCCTGAGCCACACTGTGGGACGGTGTGCTTTAGGAAGTGAAAAGGGATCCCGTGTCCAGTTGAACCTTCGAGGAGAAAAGGGACCGCAAGTCCGACAGCAGATAAGCCCGGCCTTTGTCCAAATGTGCCCAGGAAACTAGCTTCAGAAACAGTGAGTTGATTTAGTTCCTGGAACTAGAGAGTAGGAGCCCACGTCCTTAGAAAAATCACAGAATTCCAAAAACAGTCTTCGTTTTGTTGAGCTGCCACGTCCACACAGACTCCTCCCCACGGAGGCTGCGGTACAGCACACACTGCTGCTGGGGGTGGGAGCGGAGGTGGGGGTAGGGCGGGGGCGGGAGGCCGTCTTAGCTTTCCTCTCCCATTTTCCTTTCAAGGCAAATGAAATCCAGACAGAGGCTGCCAGGTGCGGAGCTTATCACGTGACGAGAAGGCAGGCTCTAGGGAAAGCTGGGGAAGCGCTTCAACAAGCTCAGCTGCACAAGTCAAATGGAACCTGTCCTTCCCTTCATGACAGGGAACGTCAGAATTTCATCTCGGTTTACTTCAGTTAATCTTGGGAATGGGACACTTTTTCATCTTTACACTTTCTTTCTTAAAGCAGCTTCGCACAGACGTGTGCTGTTGGGGGAAGGGGTGCCTTGCTCTTGGTTTGATTGAAATGGGGTCTTGTAGCTCATGCTGTCCTGGAACTCGTTCTATAGATCGGCCTGGTCTTGAACACGGGTGAATAACCGGTCTTTGTCTCCCAAGTGCTGAGGTTGCATGCATACGTCAGGATATCTGGCTGGTTTTCCTTTTCAAGACTTTGGGGGAGGGGGTGCGATGGCGCACACCCCTGATCTCTGCACTGGGGGAGAAGGGTGAAGATTGCGGTGAACTTGAGGGCAGCCTGGGCTAACGAGTTTCAGGCCAGCTTGGGCTAGAATGAAAGCTGGTCTGGAGAAACGAAGTAAATGAGTTATAAAGTAGACAAAAGCAAAGTGTTATCAAACAGTGGAGAAGCTGCTGCTAGAGAAACTTCTGCAGGAGGGTCTGTCTGGTCATACTTCTGTCATCGGTGCTGGTCAACTGGCTTAGGCATTTCCTGGCCACCACCCTAGCTCGAGCACACCCCAGAACCGCAGCACCTGAAGAGCGCTTTCCGGCTCACTTCCAGCGCGGCAATGAATCACCGGGTCTGACGGCTGGCACCTGTTACCTGCTGCCTTAGTCACAGGACCTTTTCTCCGGGAGAGCATCAGGCCATCATCTACAAGTCAGGGCAAGCTGCTGTTTGAGGAGTCCGACCGCCAGCCCTGCTGTCTCCATTGTGCCTTTGATGAGGTGGAGATAACACAGTGGAGAGTTCTTGTCCTGCCTTGATACCCCAGTCTGCAGCAGTCGCCATCAGGAAGCTGAAGGAAGCTGCTTCAGGGGAAGAGCTTGTACCCTGTGCAGAAGTCTCCGGCTTTTTGTTCAGTGAACTTAAGTAAACCAGAGTATATATAAATCCACTTACTTGGTTTTTTTTATAATAAAGGTTTAGTTATTTTTATTTTATATGTATGAGTGTTTTGCCTGTATGTATGTAAGTGTGCCGCATGCATTCAGTGGCCACAGAAGCCAGTAGAGGGTACCAGATCCCTAGAACGTGATGAAACTAGAATTATAGACAGTTATAAGTTGCCATGTGGGTACTGGTATCTGAATCCAGGTCCTCTGCAAGAGCAGCCAGTGTGCTTAACCACTGTGTCACCCCTGCAAGGCCCCCACTTACTTCTTTAAAAAAAAAATCTTAGTTCCAAAATGATAAGGTCACTTGATAAAATACCAAGTGGAAAGGCCAGGTTTAGGCGACACGTGTCTATAATCCTCTTAGGAGTTAGGAGTTCAGGGTCATCCTCTGCTGCAAAGTGAGTTTGAGGCTACCCTGGGCTACAAGAGACCAAAACATGAAGCACACGCACACACACACACGCGCACACACACACACTCACTCACACACACACACACAAGAGTATTCAAAGTATTGCTTTCTATTCTGTTTGGTTTTTTGTTGTTGTTGTTGTTGTTTTGTTTTGTTTACTTGGCATTGGTAGTACTCTTCCAGAAAAATCCTAGGGCTTATTATTTCTAAGAAACCCAAGTGCAATTGGTGGCAGGCATCTACCATATAATGAAGCAGTTCAGTTGGCTATAAAGAGATGTGTTCTTTTATTTAATATGAATTGCAGTTTCATAAGAACAGAGATGTTGCCAACCAAAGTAATCATCACAGCGAAGGACAATTCCTCTTTCAGTTGATCCATGGAAATCATTTAAGGATAAACAAATCGTATCCCTCTTACTAGGTATATTACGAAGGTAATTATCCCTACTTAAAAAAAATTATACCCTTATTGTATATCATTGCAAAAGTGTAAAATATCAAAGATGTGAAAATCTCGCACTGGAAAACCAAAACATAGCAGTTGGCAGACTCTCACTATCACTCTATGAAAGCAGGGAACTGTAGTTCCAACAAGGGGCTCACACACAGCTGTCAAGTGAGTATAGACATCAGTCTCAACCATAAAAAAGACTATTCAAAGACAAGCTCACTTGGAACAATACAAAGAAGGTCAGCATGGCCCCTGAACAAGGATTACACACAAATTTGTGGAAAAGAAAGCAACAACTAAATAAAGCCATACAGAGATGTTTGTTTGTTTGTTTGTATCTTTGTTTGTTTTGAGATGGAGGATCATCTAACCCAAGCTAATCTTGAACTTGCTATGAAAGCCAGGTTGGCTTTGAACTCCTAATGCCTCCACCTCCATCTTTTAAGTCCTGGGATGACAGGTTTGCACTACCACTACAGTGCCTGGTTCATATTCTCTCTCTCTCTCCCTCCCTAGCTCTCTCCCTCCCTCCCTTTCTCCTTACCCCATAGATTAGCAGAAACGAATGACTTTGGCAACGTGCAACATGGAAAGACCAGAGAAAATGGGTTTCTCATACCTGGCTGTTGGGAGTGCACTGTAGTAATTTTGTGATCCAGACAAAGCGTAGTTGCGTTTGTTATCTTCTCTAGAAACGTCAGTTCTTGGAATGTGCTGTACATAAGTTCCAGCACACACAGGAAAGGACATATGTCCAGAGTTACCCACTAAAACCCACTCAAAAGAGCAAGGACTGGAATCAACCCATGGGTCTGATACGGGGTTGGATGACTTAACTAACTATAGTATCTCTGCAAAGAAAATACAATGCCAGTTGGATGTAATCCCACTGTTCAGGAGGCTGAGGTCACAGGATTTCAAGTTCAAGGCCAGTTTGGAATACTTAGTGAGACCCTGACTCAAAACAAATGAGTGAACACACACACACACACACATACACACACACACACACACACACACACACACTCACAGAACCAACCAAGCCAACAGTAACAAAAAACTATGTGACTAACTATAAAGGGAACAAGTGGTAATCACAAGTAAGCCTGAAAACATTATGTTACATACATAAAAGGAGCTTGTCACAAAAGACCATGGACTGTATAATTCCATTTGTTTGAAATGTTCAGAAAAGCAATCAATAGAGATTAAAAAATAAATTAGAGGTTGCTGTGCACAAAGACGCGCGAGCACAGTGGGAGGCTGGGAAATGATGGCTCAGGGGCTCGAGGTTTCTTTAAAAGGTAATGAGGATGTAGTAAAATCAGTTATTGCATTTGGATGCACAACCCTATGAATGCGGCAAAAGTCATGAAAGTAATCTTTTAAGTAGAAGAGAGGGAAAATAAACATTTTGGTGCTCCTAAACAGATCCTGGGAGGAGAAGGCACACAAAGCTAATTAAGGTGCTCGCTGAGCAGGGAGAGTGTAAACAGAACCCGATTGCCAGGCTACGGAGATTAATTTCCTATGCCTGGTTTAGGCAAGGTACACATTTAACACTGTATTTCAATCTTGGCTGATGTTTTACCTATCCAGACACATAATAATAAAACACAGTAAGTAATTCTTCCAGGCAGATAGATTGATCAGGTGGCCCTGATTGTGTACCATTTCTACAGTTGTAATCGGTAAATCGATGCGCTCCTCTTAACTCTGTGGCTGAGGGGTCTGATGGGCAGATGGAGGCAGCCATGAAACAAGGAGCATGCGTCCCTGGGCTTCGTTCTGAACACCCAGCCTGTGTGCCGAAACCCTTCCCAGCACCACAATAAGATCCCTAGCGCCCATGGATTGCCACGCACAGGCCTGCTAAGGGGATCAGGAGAGATGAAAGCGAGAGAAGCGGAGAACACATTCACTACAGACACTGCCAGAGAGACAGAGTAGCAGCCATTGAGCGCAGCTTCCTCCCCGTGCACACCTAAGGGAAAGTTATAACGCACAGATTTCAAAATATTGATACAATCTCATTTTTCTAACCAATTCTAACCTATCACCACACAGGAGGCAGATTAGAACCTGGCACGGCACCCTGTCATGTGTCGTAGCTGGTGGGAGGTGCCATGCTGTCTTGCAGGCCTGCTAGGGAGAGCAATCTCAGCCAACGCACTGCGGCTGTCCTTGGCCTCTCTTCTGGGGCTTCATTTTCAGAGTGTTTCCTAGACTTTCTGTTGGCGTCTCTGCCTTCAAAAACAGCGCCCTCAGGACCATAGCTGGCCATTCCTCGTAGGAATGTAGTTCAGGCTTACATCATGATTACAAGGCACGTCCCATCCACCGAAATCTGTGATGATTGCATTGTAGCATATTAAGATGCCTACTACTTTTTCCAATTTACTGCTTTTCCCTTGCTGAATGTCCTTTACCAGGCTAACATACTTGGGAGTATGGCAGACCATTAAAGAAGAACAAAGAGACAGATTTCATGTTTCCTCCCTTCCCATGTTCACAATTCTGCATGAACCAGGCATGCTTACATGCTGGTCCAGACAAATATAACACTGACTGGGGGTGACTCTGACTCTTAGATCAAAAAGTAGTCAACTTTGATCTGTTTTTGCATGGAGACCTCTAAGCTGATTCTCTGTGTCCATTTCACCATGAACACTTTTAGCATGAATCCTACCAAGTCTGTCTAATGGCAATCCCCAAGCTATGGCACATTCTAATTCTTCTCAACCCATACCTCGACATGCAAGTCCTTGGCTTGTGTATTAGTCAGGGTTCTCGAGAGGAACAGAAGTGATAGAATTGGCACATATGGGATTTATTAGAGTAGTTTATAAGCTGTGGTACTGCTTGTGCAAAAATGGCTGTCTACCAACACAAGTTCACGAATCCTGTCATTGTTCAGTTCACAAGGTTGGTTATCTCAGCTGGTCTTCAATATACAATGGAGTCCTGGAGAAGTAGACTCTAATGCCAGTGAAGGAATGGACTTGCCAGCCAGAATCAGGGCAAATAGACA